CACAGCCACATCTTAGCAGGTGTGGCAGCGGAATCTGGTGCCAAAAGTGATCTCATGGTTTTCAGCCCCAACATCCCTGTTTTTGCAGAAAATGGGAAACAGCAGGATCTGCTCTGTGCAACGGTTAGTGACCTCTCTTTCAATGTGCATAACGTGTTCTAAATATTTGCTTAGTAATCCTTTTCTTTAGATATATTCATATATTTTCAAAGATTTTGCAGTTCATTATGAAACTCCTGAAAACATAGTAATTCCTCTTTCACCCTAGTGATTTTTAAGAAGTTGTGTATGTGTGTTTGTGTTTTCTTAGAACGTTTCTTGTTTCAGACAATGGCTTGGTCCATATTGAGTATCCATGTTGAGAATAATGGAAATATCATTTGTAAAATAGTAGCAATAACCACAGTATGAACAACTCAGACAGTCCAATTGTAGTTTGTTGCTGTTGAAGATATTATGCATAATGTTCTCCTTCTGAACTGTAAATCAACACTCTAGCATTTCTCAGAAACAGTGCAATTATCCTCCATCCTCCATGTGTGGTTTAGAAAGCAGCACAAGAATTCTTTTCTAAGTGTTCACATAGGATACATATTTTTCCAAGCTCATCCCATCTTCTTGACTTTTCACCACCATTTAGCAATAAAGTGATGTTCTCTTTCCTGTCATGATATTACTCTGGTTTTCACCACTTATGGAAAGACCCTCTGAAGTTGGGTGTGGAACATACATTTTACCGGCCCAGCAGTGGCTGTGCTGGCTGGAGGATTCTAAGAGTTGTAGTCCGAATAAATCTCTGTATCTGGCCACTACTCCAGGAGTAGTCAGATGAACATCTCCTGCTTGCACCACGGATGGCCTATGGAACCCAGGTACGGATCAGAAGAGCAGCCCTATGTAAAGCACATCACAGTCACTAAGCCTTGCAGTTTGGAAGAAAGGAAGAGGGGAGTTGTCTTTTCTTCATCAGAGTTGATGGAATTACCTGTGGATGGAGGTCTCAGCTTTGGGGAAATGATGCAATTCTTAAATATGTCAGCTACCAAACTGACATCCATGTGTTTCATGAGTTTATATAGTAATGGTCTCTCCTAGTAGCACCAGTTATTTTCACCTCCTTCTGCAATGGGCCTCTGACATCCAAAGTTCCCATAGGAAATACGATTTTTGAGGTAATTTCCTATATCCTGCAACACACAAGAATCCCTTCTGGGGGTTTCCAGGTTTCATATAAAATGTTTCATGTACTTTTACTTAAAAGTTGTGAAGGAAAATCTCGAGACCCTAAATTTTAGGGAGTATTCTACCCAGTTTCACCTCAGGGAAAGGAGTTGTCATGGTGGGATGGTGGGAGAGGTAGGAACAGGGTAAGTACAGCTTTCGGATTGGCTCATCTTCTGAATTAATTAACCCTTTAGTGAATGAATCTCACAAGTTGTCTGTGATAGCAGTCTCTCTCTTTATTCTTTATTTCTCATTGATATGCTTCATTCCTCTCAACCCAAAGTCAGCAGACAGCAGTGAAAACAGCAGAAAGAAGAACTTAAATGAGACCCATACCAGTTTTGGAGTGCCTCCTCTCTTTATATGATGCATAGAGGAGACCATAAGGTGAAAAGCAAGCATCCAGATGTACTCAGCTTGTTGTCTTTTTTGTCTTAATTCTTTATAACTTACTTTGTAAATTAACATCCTGCAGTATGCTTCTGTGACTGAATGAATATGTGTCTCTGGGCATATATAGAAAGTCTTTCATCAATCAGTGAATAACAACTGCCAGGCACCTTTTTGTACCTCCTCCACCATTTAGGATTGGGAGTAAATAGTTGGAGGATATAATGCCAAGGCAAACTTAGTTCCCTTTGGAAAACAGAAAAGTGCTTGGGAACCCTAACCTTTAGTACAGGGTCACAGTAGAGCACAATTTGTTTGGATCCAAAAGATCCAAGCTTCAACTTATGCCCAGTTAGGAGAACTATAAGATACCTGGTAATGTAAAAGATACCTGGATAGTTGCCACAGTCAGTGTAAATATTATCAGCCTGCCTGATATAAAAAAGTTTGCTTTCAATTCCTTATAAAAAAGGCAAACAGATGAAAAAAAGAATTCCTGAGTTTGTGAAGGGTGCTTTCTTCTCTCTACATAGTAGTCATACACTTGCCATTAGAGATGCATTAGTGAGGTCATAACTTGCTTTAGGCAGGACTCTTAACCTCTCCCATTTCAATAATTCTAGCAACAAAAAAATCAGTTTAGCTTCTTCTCCCTATCCCTCTCTCCTGACACAATTTAGAATCTGCTTGCACCATTATATCAGTGATATTTACATATCGGACTTATTTATACCACAGTTAGAGAAAAATGCCATTCTTGCTTTCTTAGTAAGGGTTTGGTTGTAGTATTGTTAAAGGCAAGAATTATTAGTTGAATTAATCTTCCATTGGATGAATCTTCTCTTTTGAATTGGTCAAAACAGAAGGGACAGTTAAATTATAATAAATTAAGGCTGTAATCCCTTTCAAACTTATTGGAAAGTAAATTTTATTGAACTCAGCTGGGTTACTTCTGAATTAGAATGCGTATGTTTACACAGTTGTTCTTGTTGTTCTGTTCTGTCAAATCAGAACCAACATATAGTGACCCTAACAACATTCTCAACATAAGTAAGATATTAAAAGAGCAGTTTTACCAGTTTCACTTCCTCGTCAGTTTCTATGTCTGAGTAAGGATTTGAACCCTTTTCTCCAGAGTCTTAGTCTATCACATTAAACATATCACACATTTGCTTTTTCAAGTCATGATGAAATGATCTATTTTGTATTCATAGCTTTGGGACTTTTGTAATGTACAAATCTAGACTTAATTGTTTTGTAGAGTTTTATGTTTTAGCTTCTCTTTTGTATTCAGCCAAAAGGCGACCACTTCCTGGCAACAAGTTGACCCCCATTTTTCCTTTCAACATCCCCCTTGCCTTGCCAATGTACCGTAAGTCCTGAGGTGAAGGTTGGATGGTGGCTACGGTGGTTGGTGGGGCCGAAATTACTGTAGCGAGTGGAAGATGTTGACAGGCAGAGCCAGAAGTGGTATTCATGCACACAGGCACATACAGATATTTATACAGAGAGGGAAGCATATTTTCATAGATGTACATCCACATACTGATAGTCAGGTAAGGAAGGGAATTTTCTGACCCCCATTGGAAGGAAGGGGATAGGGAGGCATGGTAACCAGAGTCTGGGGTCAGGTCATGTCTCATTTGCCATAATGGATTAGCCTCCATTGCTGAAGTGAAATCACCTATAATTAAAACAGGGCATTCTGAAATTCAGGTCTGGATTGAGGGATGTGTCTACCACAAACAGTACAGTCCTTTCAAGATAACAATTCTGGCTGTGAGCCTGTGCCTTATTTTCCTGTGCTCCACAAAGCTTTTAATCCTATGTAGTCCATAATGATTTTATGAATTAGGAATTGCTCTGCATGAGAGACAAAGTGTTCAACATGTGTAGTCTGTTACTAACATCAGTCCACATTATAGTATTTTCTCCAGCATGAGAATGGAGATTTCATGAAGCTTCAATCCAATACCTATTTTTTTTAGTTTAATACTCCTCATGTAATGTAATGGAAACACATGGAACTAAGGTCCTGAAAGTGTAACTCTCTTCCCCCTTCTCTCCCTCCCTGTATTCCTTCTCTCCTGTACAAGAAAAGTAAATTCTATATACATAGGTACACTTCTAGTCATCACTGGTAATCTCCACTTCTTCAGATAAAGGATTAGTAAAACAGATGGAGGTATACTCCTGAATATAAAGTTGTTTGGGTGTATAGGAAGCAGGCATGATGTGGTCAACCATAGGCGGTTTAGTTGACAACTATATGCTTACTGGTATCCTTGCAGCTAGATTAGATAAAGTGATAAACAAGTATTCAAAGCTTGATAAGACAGGTTTCATAAAAGATGAATGATTATATGTAAATGTAAGAAAAGTTTAAATATAATTCTCAGTTTACATGATGATAAAATATAAATTACATGGTTAGGGATGCCAAAAGGCATTTGATAGACTAGAATGGCCTTTTTTGGTTTAAAATCATGGATGCATTTAATAGCTTTCTTTGATTATAGTTTGTTAAGATTAAGGTTCCACAATATCATAGGCAAAGAAAGTAGTCCACAGCCAACTAATGTAAAAGACAAGAATATCACTCCCTTTAAAAAAAGTTTTAAATCTAATATACAAATCACAAGATGAAGTACCACATTAAATCTTAATCATGTTATGCTATGTATAGTCACT